AGATCTTCCTTTTCGAATTGATCAAATGTATTTAACAGTTTGCTTAGATGTGTAATGATATACTGTATTTAAGTGGAAAAAAGGACCAATAAACAGTTGGTAGGTTTTTTATAAACTCTTCTACAAATCTGTTATATTCAGATAAAGTGAAAGAAAATCAACAAATAAACATACACAGTGATAGCAAAAATTTCAAAACATATCAGCACTCATTAAGGGATATAAAAGAGTGGTTGCTTTTTCAAGACTACTGAGTAAAGTGATGTTCTAATTCAGATGAGCTCATTTGAAGACCCGATATATAAACAGAAGTCAGAAGAATCCGGACTCTTCAGTATGATTGCTTGTTTAACCTTCTAGGAGTCCATACCTGCAAATTCAGTCTTCAGGTTAATTTAACCAGTTGTTTGTGACACATGTGCGGTGTCAGAGGCTGAGATAAGTGAAATTTAGCTTTGAGCTTCTAAATAGATAGAACCATCATTGCTGAATAAAAGCTAATATAATGTTTAAGTAGTTGACTAACTGCTGAAGGCCCATAGTTTCCTACCTTCAGAAATTATGCCAACAGATTGTGATATGGAAGAATAGCATTTCTATTCTTGCCTTTTCCGTTCTCCCACAATTTGTAATAGGGCTAAACAGTGATTACTAAGTGCCATTATTACTAATCTCTAGAATATGTTTTTTCTTACATTTTAATGTCAAAAGAACTGTCATTACTTTTCTTCAAAAGGTACTATTTGTTGGCTAATGCAGTTAGAGGATTAACTTTGAATTCAGGTCAGGCAGATCTAAAATGATGAGCTGTAAGATTTTTAAGAACCAGAAGACATGGACCTTGTTAATTCCAGACGGTGATCAGATTGTCTTTTGCAATAAGTAAATGGCACAAGATGCCAGGCAGTTGCGAGAGAACGACGAACACCTATGTGCTGTAATTTAGCTTTCCAAGAACGTATGGTGATATTACACACCAAAAGTTTTGCTTTTGCAAGTACCCCTGTTTTGACAGCTGTCTCACAACTAAACCCAATTCAGATAGTCAGATTCAGGATCAAGTAAATGTTTCCCATAGGCATTTGTCTAACACAAATCTATAAAATAAAACTGTTTGCCTATTTCACATGAAATATCTCCTCATCAAACAATAAATTATCCTGTCTAGGGAAGGAAACTGTAGCAAACCCCTGTATTCTACCTGACTTTTCACTGTTGGAGAAATGCTTGCAGTCTCATTAATTTTCCAGGAATGCAGGCTCTCCTTCCTGTTACATAGAAATAACATAAATGCTGCCCATTGCTTACTGTTACTACTTTTGTCTTAGAAATTGTTAGGCCAGTTGTGACCCCATGGATTATTTTAATTAAATCTTTGAATTAATCTTCGCTGAATATCTTATGAGACTGAGAAAGAAGAAAACATGCTAAGCTGAGAAACTTTTAAGTCCAGATTACCTTATGGTATTTAAAATTAGCATGAAAAAACATTTTGCAGAAAAAAACCAACCTTCACCTATAAATCACAGGCAAGTGATTTCTGTAATAATTTTGATTTGGAGATCCTGTCTCACTTCAGAAACCATGTCTTACTGCATAAAATACTTATCATGGTAAATAAACATCACCAATTGCTTGCTTTCCTTTTCATTGATTGTAATTGATCATAATATTTAACTTATTCAACTGACCTATTCTTCAATGTATTTTTTTAATGCATAAGAAATAAATATTTTAACAAAAGTAATGCTAAACTAAATATTATAAATATGGAATGGGATGGGTAGGAAGACTCTTCTTGTTTTTCTTTTTAAATTTTTCTATAGGAGGCATTTCTCTTTGAAAGAGTGCGTTTCAAAGATGGGTCCAACTCAGTGAAAGATAACCCTAATTATTAGTAATTACAGTTTCCATTTAGTGCAAGAAAGTAAAACTCATGCAGAAATATTTTTGAGCTTCCAGTACACTGTATTATCTTTCTTCAAATACACATTGTAAGCATCTACTTTATCTTGAAATGCAATATTTAAAATCTGGACTTTAAGTAAATATTTTGTTTCAACATCCTAAAATAATTATTGTAGACAGAGAAAATTAGGGACTGTACTAATGAACTGAAGAATGGAAAAGACAGATTCATTCCTTGCATAACTGACAAACTCAGGTCACTTTTGTAGAAGATAGCCAATGGGGATAATAACTTAGTGACAAAATAGAAAAAAAAAGTAATAATTCAAAAATTACCAGGCCATTAATCTTGTCTTTAAAAGAGAACAAACTAATTTATTTCAGAGAGGGTTAAACCTGAAGTGCAATTTATAATCTTTTTGGTAGCCTAGTAATGTTGAAAGATTAATAATGTCATTCTGTATGATTCGTCTCTTGAACTTGAGCTATTTTTGTGAAAAAACTGAAGTCGTGATGACATAAGGCAAGAAGAAAGCTTCAATTTGCTGTTCATTTGCAGAGAGGTGAGAACTGAATACGAGGAGCACCACTTTGTGAAATAGAATGAGCAGCATCATGAATAAAGATTGATTGCACTTTCAAAATTCAGTAGTTGTCATTGAAGATATTAGAATAGTTTGAGTCCAGTTGTTACACGTATCGTCAGAAAAAAAGCCAAATTAAGAAGAAGAAGAAGAAAAAGAAGAAAGAAGAAAGAAGAAGAGAAATTCCACAAGAATTTGTCAGGTGTTCTCCCTCAGGGAGAAGCAATTTGTTTGGAGTTTTATCTGTAAGGTTCTGTTGTGTCATTACATTGTCTCTGACCTTCCTCATTATCTTTTCCAACTTTAGGCGTCGGTTTCTAACCTTGGAAAACAGTGAAAAGAAACAGTCTTTGTTACATATAAAACTACAGTGAAGTTTTTACAGCTGCAGTCTTCATGTAGTTTTTCAGGTTTCTTAGAGACTATTGGGAGAGTTGGACTGGGGAACTCTTTTTATGGCCAGTCACTGGAGCTCCTCATGTGCCTTCCCTTCTCCTTTGGAAAGTGTCCTACAAGGGCTAGTGAAGGGCTTAAAATACTGTGAAAGAGTCTGATCCTTTCTGTAAGCAAGAGCAGAGGAGTCTTTGCAGCAGAATTGTTAGACCTTGCTATGTCCAAAGATGGACAGCATTTGTATTGCTTCTTCCTTACTCCAGAGATTACTGTGAGGAGTTTTTCCTACATGCGGTGGATTGGGCAAATGGGACTTTACATGATTCTGTTCCAACTTGGACACCCCTGGCATTTTCGGAAACTCAGACGCTCCATCCAAAATTGGGCATAGCAAAAGTCTAATGAGTAGCTCCCATGAGAACTACTTACTAAACTTACCAGAATTCCAGTCATTGCTGGGGCTACTATTAGCCAAATATACTGTATTGTCTCTGATATCTCTCATGGTAAGTGTTGACAAAAGTATAGTAACTACTATACTTTTTTGATATTTACAGAAATTCATACACCTTAAATTTTTCTACTAGATTTAATAGATCTTTTAAAATAGGTCTCTCTGTGCACTACTAAAAACAATAGAAAATATTGTTTAGATGCTTAAATATGCCTTTTTTTAGGAAAATAAAAATTTGGCTAGGCTTATATGATGAGAGTCCTAAAATTCTATGGTTTGTTTTAAATTGTTGCATGTACTGCTGGGGAGACGCTCCTACAGTTTATTGGAACTCTCTCCAGATTCTGCTTGTGAATTCAATGTTTCTTAAAAGCTTTATAACACTGCAATTTTTTTGTTTTGTTTTTAGATAGAAGTGATGCAGTTGAGCTTCCTATAAAATTCATTCCTCGGTATGCTGGTTGCTACCACTGTCAGATTCTTCTGAAGTCCTCCTGCGATGTTCGTGTCTATGAGATTGAATGTGTAGTGAATACAGACCATGCTGAAGCAGAGCTTGAATTTCTAACTCCAGCTTACCAGGCAGTGGTTCAGGATATTCCAATAGTAAGTTCACTTTACTACTAGAAACTAAACTAAGATTCAGGATTTTTAAAAACTGGACTCCAGATCAATACTGTTAAAATTTACAGTTGTAAAATGTACAAATGCATGTAAATACTGACTTGAGTATTACTACTCAAAGTCCATATTGGACATAATATAAAGCTTATTGGGAAAAATAGTTTCTGGCAGTTCCTAAAGTAAATTATGGATTTGATGGGCTCATTTCTAATGTTTCACTTCTGTCCTCACAATTGTTAATCTGTTATTTAATAATGTTATAACACTGAAAGTAAAAAAAGGAGTTGTTTAATCTAGGGAATAAATGTATTGTTTCTGGAAAAAAGGAGAGATATTGAGGAGTAAAACAGAAGAACTAGATTACATACAATTTAAAAAATATGGCAAGCATAGGCAGTATACCATGTATAGTTTTATCGTACCTATTTTGTATATGAAACCCTTGACACATGAGAAGTAAGACCAGGAAGTGAAGACAGAGTGTAGGTTGGAATATCATCTCCCTCAGAAAATTATTGCTCAAAATTTATAGAACTTTTCCGATTTAAAAGAAAAAAAAAATGAAAAAATGATAGGGAAGGAGCTTAAGCTGCGAGAGAAAGGGTAAAAATTCTTTAAGAGATAAAAATGGTAAAATACTTCCTGAGATTTGAACTATGGTTTGGTCTATGTACTTGATGTAACCATTTGATATTAGAGTCACTGAAGAATAGTAGTGAGTTAATTTATAGAAAAATTATCCTGGGATTTTGTAGACAAATAGTGGGGCCAGATTCAAACAAGGAGACTTAAGGTCTGGGGAAAGACCATACTGTGGATACTCTGTGAAATACTGAAAGTAGACAAGGAACTAGTTCATTAAGAAAGAAAACAAAAAGTACAGAAAATGAAAGGAAATCATATCACTGTTACACATAGATTTTAAGATATTCATATATTGTTTATTAAACACTGATTTATTGAATGTTACTTTAGCTGAAAAACAGCTGTTACATAACACAGAAAGGTAAGGTTTTTTCCCACCTCCTTTAAACAGAGAGTTTCTAAACAGATTGGCTTTATTCTTTTGATTTTTTTTTTTTCACTTCTGAGTGTTCCTAAATATATGATTTTAAATTTCATGCAGGAGTCATGCTTCTATACTCTTAAGTCTTGCTTGTTTTCTTAGGAAGGAAATAAAAAGCACCCCAATTGGAGCGTATACTCTGTCGGTGTGTATGTGTGTGTTTGTGAGAGCGGGAATGTGTATCTCTGTTAGTCTGTCTCTCTAGTCTGTGGAATGAATGCACATGGTCGCGAAGTCTGCTCTAAATGTTATGCCCTAAATTTGCAAAATCAAACACATAAAAATGTGAAGTTGTTCCTGTCCTTTTACATCCTAAGCTTAATTTTGCGATTGCATATTATTTTTTTCACAAGGTTTCTGTCATGTTCAGTATAAGAAATGTGTTTTACTCTGATAAGGAGTTAGATACTTTACATTTTTATATACATTCATTCTAGCTGGAGCTTCTGCATCTATCAGAAATTTTTCCATACTTTTACGTTGTTAGTTAGCACCGTTATATTTGTCATTCAAATTACTGAACTTTGAAATACTCTATGGAGGAAGACAGATGCTCATAGAGAGTGAAACTGAGGTATGGGGTTGTTCAACCTGCTAAACTTAGTTTCTTGAACCTAATAGTTAGTGTTCAAAGCACTTTTTATGGACACTAGCAAACTGTCATAACATCTGTGTGGTAGGTGGAACACTTTATAAATGGAGCAAATAAAATAGTCAAGTGATTTGCTTAAAGCCACACAATGAATTAGTGACAGAACCAGAATAAGAATAACCAGAATAACTCACAAGCATGAGATTCATGTAATTCCATCATTCACTTCCAGCCTCTTCAGTGAAAGAGGTATAGATCCTATACATGCAGCCTTATTATGTAGCTTGGATTTAATCACCTACCATCCTGTGAAAAGATTCTAACTCCCTTAGCATTAATTGTGTTTCTCAGTGACTTAACAGGCTTCAGATAAGATTTCACATTTAGCAGAGATCCTGTAGGAATTAGATAATTAAGTAATTAAAACTGTTTGTAAATGCACAAGTTCAAGGGAGTAGAATTTAAGAAATATTTTATTTTCTAATGTTTGTGGTTGTCCTTAATATCTTTTGTTAGAAGATATTTTTGACAAATTCATGCTGTATTAGAAGGATTTGTTATAGAAGAATTTCAAAGTGACCATGTTTGTCAACTACATTTCTCCAGCTGACAAGTTTTGTGTTCGAGATTAAGAAGAAATACTTACTGGTGTAATCATCACTAGTGTGGATAAAGGAAGCATCTGATACCAATGGCACTAGAAGTCACTGAAAATAAAACACTTAAGCCCCCAAATTTTGACTGTCCTCCTCTTTTCCTTACCAAAACAATCATGGTGATATTTTTCCTCTGTCCCACCTTTTAAAACAGTAGATTAGCAAAGGGTGATGACCTGAAAGTCTTAAAACTGATCAAGCTGGTTTTCAAAAGGATAAAGTTGTTCCTGATGTGGAGAAAAAAAGTATGAGAATAAAAATAAACTTTTGATGCCTTTTTTTTCATTTTATCTTCAGCATGAGGATACCAGTTAATTACATTTTCCCCCCCATGTTTTCTACCAGAGATGAAGTAATTGTTGTTATTACAGAATTGGAGACCACAGTGATGGAAGTATTTTGAAAAACTGAGGCACTATACAAATCTCAACATTCCAAACAGCCATTTGTGCTCAACTAGGAAATTTACCTCTTAACAACTAAGAATTAAGCATTAATCATACATGTTAATCAAACCTTAGGTATATGATACTGCAGGTCTTGTGCCATGCCATGGGTTAGCTCTGATGACCACAGGTGGTGGTTCTTAGTTTCTGAGGTTGAGATAGCTGAGCCTGAGAGACTTTCAAAGAAGGAAACAAGGATCGAAGTATCATCTCTATTCCCCAAAATCCATTGTTTACCTCTGACATTTCTATATAGTTTTCCATGCAAAAAGGCTGTTACGGGTCAAAGGATTACTTCCTCTTTTCATAAATCAGATCAATCTTCTCTGTTTTGACAAGGCAGGTGTTAGTTCTTGAATGCCAGTTTATTTTCTTTTTCAGATGAATGTTCACCTTTTTGAAGACTGGATGTTTGGTCATCTGGTTCCTTCAAATACTGGGAGGCTGGATAACATCATTTTAGTTTTACTGTTTTTCTGCAGCCCCATTAAGCATGTATTTCAAAGTATCTCACTTTCTACCATAATCAAGCAGTCTTGTGATACATCTGGATGCAAGACAAACATGTTTCTTAAATAGGCTTTCATGCTACTCAGGGCAGGGATTCTTTAAAATAGATTAGTCTCTTGAAAGACCAGTTTCTGAGAAGACAGGACTGTAAATACTCCTTTGGAGACAGAGTCCTTAATTCATAAGCAAGGCTGATCCTGTAATATAGTCAGTAGCCAAATGAGGCAATATATGCTAGTATACCACATCAGCACTTCAAAGAGGTACGCTACGATTTTCTACAGATGCAAAAGGGACAGAATTTTGGCAAGCATTAAACAGCACCATAAAGATACTTGTAAATGTTTTTAATGATACTTATAAATTCCATCTTGACCATTAGCTATATCGTTTACATATTCTTCTAATGAGTGTTCTTGCTGAATATACTGGTATCATAGTATTGACACCAGTACCTCAGGCTGCCAGGGATAAGGGATTTACTATTAGCTTAATTCATTTTTAAAAGACACTATTTTATTCTCCCCAAAGGTGCTCTGAGCACAGTACTTTGGGAAAATGAGTACTGTGCTGTGATTTGATGCTAACTGCAAGTAAAAGCTGAAATGCATGTTAAGAGCTTTAAATGCATAATCTAATTTACATCTTTACTTTGATTTCAGAGTAACATGTCCAGCCAGGACTGGAAACTTGAAGCAATTTTGGAAGGACAGGGTTTTTATGGCCCTCCTCTAATAAATGTGGGTTCAGGTGAAACAGCTCTGTACCCTCTCATGTTCAAGCCTATTGCTGAGTGCATAACAACGGTAAGAGGCAAATTAGTTTCAACATTTGAAAAGGATGCTTCTGTCAATAAAATTTACATCCGTGTCCAAATCAGGAAAGTGCTTAAGCAGTTACTAACATTAAGCATCTGCTTGAGAGTCAGGAATTGAAAGATTGCCTACTAGCTGAAGTGAAAAAACAAAGGAACTAACTTTGCAAAGCTTAAGACTAGACATGATAGATTTCCTCACCACCCTTTGTTATCTCTTCCTGTATTTGGTCTTCTATCAAACCCTCCATTTTAATGAAACAACCAGTTACTCTGTAGAGATTCTGAACTTTGATCATAAAATGTACATTGTGTTAGTTTGAATTTAAATACATATATTAAATCGTATTTCATTACCTAAGTGATGAAGTAGTACCATTAAGTATTTCTTGTTGCATGCATACATCACAAATGAATTTATGTGATGGGTACTTTGTTTTCATAAAATAATTTCTGTTACAAGTTAAGCCACTACTTAGAAGCTGCTTTTGCCATCAGAGTAATGACTATTATGAATGCTAAAATGAAGAGCAGAGCAAAGGCTATGACACCTTTAGCAAGAAGCAGTATACGTATTTTTGCCTGTATACTAGCTGAGAGATTTTGACTGCAGGGTGCTATTCAAATGTGTGAATTGCCAAAGACAAAAAAAAGAAAAAAAAATGTTCTGTGAAACACTAGTTTCTGCATGCATTACCAACCAAATATAATGTAGTTTAGGAATCCAGTATTATAAAACTCAGTATTAAAAAGTCAAAAGCCCTGAATCCTTTGACGACAAATAATTATGAAGAACATTGTAGTTGAAGGACAGGTGGAAATGATTGAGCAAAGTTATATTTTACGTGAGGAATAAGGATGCATGAGAACATATTTTCTTGGATATTTGTTTTCCAGGAAGAAGCCAAGAGGTAGAAAATCTAGAAGTATGAAGGCTTTATATTGTTAAATTTCCTAATTTAGAAAACTTAAAAGCTTTTGTTTCTTTAGTTTTCTTCTCTGTTTAACAGCAGAGTTCACTTAAGAACTAGAAAAGTCAACAGGAACACTTCCATGTAAGGATGCTTTGTTGCCCGGATTTAAGATTAATAGACTAAAGGAGTTGGCTTGGCAGCCAAAGAGGACTTTTGCAGTGCTGACACTTCTTTTTTCTTCTTCTTTCTTTGTCATAGGGAAAGCTTATTCTGCGAAATGATACAGCTGGCACTGAAAACATCTTTAGCCTTAAGGGAATAGGGAAGAAACCTCTGGCACAGGATCATATTGTGATAGATTGCCAAGTGAGAAAGGTCACTCGAAAAATTTTATGGGTGCCCAATTATACCAAAAACAAGTTAACGTACAAGGTAAATTTTTGCAATAATGTGACAACTATTTTTCTATACAAGGGCCTATGAATTATGTATTACAATAGTAAATATTATTGTAATTGTAATAATTGTAATAATAACACTATTAAAATTAATGTATCCATGAGAAATTATATCTCACTATACTTTATAGTGTATGGATATGTTTATAGTCAGGAAGTCTCTGATATAGTGTATGATTTTACTGTATGTTCCATGGAAAAAGTTTTCTTAGTTTTTTAGTCTGGTTCCTAAGGGGACAACACTTCTACAATTGCACTCTGTTCATTTGCTAGTCTTTCCTCCCTTCCTCCTCCACTGGTTTGAAACCAGTGGCCAATTCCATCGGGTTTGAAATCAGAGAAGGGGCTTGAGAATACAGGGTTCCTAAAATCTTCATAAAGCATTGGAATATTACAAGAAAAGGACAAAAATTACTATCCTACTAAGGGAAAGATTGCATCATGAGCTCACTATATCTCTGTTCCTAATGGCCTGGCCAGTCAGTGCTTGCATTTCTTGGAACAAATTATAGCAGTTAGTGTCTTTTGCCCAGCTGTTGTTTCAGGGATATTGGAGGAAGTTGGGAATACTGTATGTGTTTGCTGATGGGAAAGAAAATTTAAAGGAAATAACAAACTGGAGTTGTTGAAGGGCAATGGGTCACTGGGGAGATGGAGTAGGAGGTGCTGAGGTAGCTATGATTTCAGTGGAGGGACATAAGATATAAATTCTTAGAAAATACAGTTTTGTTAGTTTCCCCGCTCAAGAAGATCTTTTTACTATTAAATATAATCCTTATTATTTTTCACTGTTTTAGTTAAATAGATTTTATAACTGTATTTACACAAACACATTTTCCTATTTAAAAACACTGTTGTATTACTGTAACTGCACGATTTTCCTACTATTTATCTTGTCTGCATGTTTACTTTGAAAGTGAAAAAGTATTTCAGTAGTAGTCCTCACCTTCCTTATCCATGTATAGGACCCCATGTCATATGCCAGCAGAGGCAGAATGTACATTAGAGCAAAAAAGATGACTTCTGCTTTTCTTTTCAGCTGCAGAGAAAAGAAGCAGCTTGTTCCTGAGCAAGAACATCTTGGACCTTGCTCAACAAAAGCCATCTTTGTAACTCTATTATGGCATTGAAATCTAGAGTAGATTAGCGTCTAGATACTATGGCTGTATACAATTTGCTAGGAGGGCTCAATCAATGAAAACAAGGCAGGAGAGTGTGCTCTAAAAATTCAGCATATATAAATATATATTTTTGAACTGAGGGGTTTGGGTGTTGGGGCTTTTTTTTGTAGCTTTTCTTTTGGGGGGAAGGAGGGAAAAGGGGATAATGTAGATTCCAGAAGGTAAAATCTGTCTAGTTAACTAGTGTGGACTTCTGAAATGAGTGATCTTTTGTTCTCAGTCTTGGTACCAGTAGCACGAAGTGCTGCTTTACTCAAAATGACAGGTATTGGTAGACAGTGGCCTCACCTTATTTTATAAAGAGAGATCACGTATACCAGCAGCACTCTTCTACTGGTTTGATGGGAATTCATGGCAATGCAAAATCCTTCCTTAAACTCTTGCTAGTCTCCAATCTTTCACCGTTACAGGAGGATTTATATTTAATAAACTTTGTATATCATAAAAAGGTCCAGCTTCATGTTCCTATTTTTTGACTCATTATTAAAACCCCCAAACAAAGTAGGAAATGTATTTTTTGGGCATCACCAGCTTTGACACTTTTCTTTTCAACAATCTTAGCTTTTTAGATGTGAATGCATTTACATTTCTAATACATTTGTACTTTTATCTCTGAAAGAAGTGAATGTTTTTGAAAGTTGACAACAGAACTCTTTCCTCTGCTTTCCCATTTTGTGTGAACTCAATATTTTTTGTGCCAATGAAAGACACTGAAATATCAAACTTTGAAATGAATGCATTAAAATTACTCATTGTATGTCTTTTTCAGAAACATTGCGTTAAACGGATTTATGACAGTTGTGACTATTCCAGGGTGAGCTGGGTCTGATTGAACTTTGAGCTCCTTGAGGGTGTTCTCTGGGTACTGAAATCTGGGTTTTGGGTGGGTTTTCTCTTCTGCTTGGTTGGTTTTCTGGTGGTTTGTTTTGTTGTGTTTTATTTTGCCTCTGTGAAGTACCGCTTGACAGTCCAACCATGTGTGCTCTTTTTGCTCTGGGACTTTTGGGAGAAAAGTAGTAAGGCCAGCTATTTCATGCTTGTATGCATGTAATAAATTAATTGGTGTGAATAATGTATATTCTCTGTGCTAGGTTTTTACCCAGAAGCTGTTGTAGAACAGTTGTTGAAGCAAGGTGGGCTGGAATTGTTGGAAAAGGCATGATTACAAAACCTACCAGTGTCTGGAAACTGTCTCCTCAACAAAGCAAACAATATTAATCACTTCCAGCACTCTCTAGCAGATGTCACGTAGTGTCTTGCGCTACTGTAGTGAGTGAAGATCATTTGCTCGCTTTTAATTCCAAAAAGGTTAGTCTGTAATTAGGATTTAATCAGTAAATCCAGAACATGATCACCATTATCTGTAGTTATTAGGAGAAAGGGGAAAACCTCCTTTAAGAGGGAACTGTGACCAACAACCTTGCTAGAAATGCAAAATAAACTTTATTTACTCAGAAGTGTATAGCACAAAGGGCAACAGGAAAAAGAAGTGATACTAATTTCGTTGTTGTTGTTCATTCCGCCTGATTACTGTAATTTCTGGATAGTCTGTTGTGAAGCAGAGCGTAACAGACTGTGATTTTGTCTTTGTCAGTGTTTCCCTTGGGGGCAGTTGCTGACAGCCCAATAACTCCTCTCCTTTTTAATCCAGCGTCTTTGAAATTTTACCATATTGTCCTTTAGCTAAGTTGATGATTAGGTGGAGGAAATCTTGTCAGCTTTGGTGGAGACAGAACAAAGATAACCCAAAAAGTAATAGTTTTAGAAATGTTTTTGATGGGATCTTTTGTAATTTTGTTGGCTAATGAATATCTTCATTATTGAATTGGTTGGTTGATTAGCCCTGTACATCCTCCATTGATGGAGTGTATCCACTATACAAGGTAACTTCTCATAGATAAACTGGGACATACTTGATATTTTTAAAAAACATAAGTATTTCATTTGCTGAAGTAATAAAGCTTAGCCTGTATCAAGAATCGTATAATATGTGCCAGTAGCTGATGAGCATAATAATTTACAGGCATGTCCATAAACAATTTACTGCACAATGAATACTTACCAATAATTAATTCAGCTGAATTAATACTTGGGTAATTTTGCCTTTGAGGTGTAAATTTAGCTTCACTATTCCATTTTAATATTGAATATATTAAACTATAAACTTAATAAAAACTCATTTCATTAAAAAATTAATTACATTGTATATATGCTACCCTGTTTCGCAGTATTCACTGTATATATCTAATAGCTTCAACCAAAATAAGGGTACTACTGCAAAAGTGACCATCGAAAGTTACGTGTGTGAGGAGGAAGAGGGAAATAATTCTTTCCTTTCCTCCATTAAGAAAGCCCTCTTCCCTCTGAATAATGTTTTTCCCATTTCAAACATACCTAGAGCGCTCATGTCTGGAGCAGCAATAATTATTGTATGTGTGGTTTGCTTGTCTGTGCAACCACTACTATGTATCAAGAGAATCAGGGAGGGAAGAAGTGCCTTTGGAATTCAGTGAAGGTCATGTGCTTGACTCCATCAGTCTACATTTAAAAATGCTAAGCAAAACACTTTCAGTGCCCACAAAGCTTTCCATGATTAGAAAGACAATTTCCATAAATTCCTTGAAAAATGTGAATGTTTTATGAACTGTTTTCTACTGATTGATGTGTAAAGCTTAGGGAAATACTGCCACTGTGCTCTTCATGGCTGATTCTAGGGGATATTACAACAAATAGTCTTTCTTGTGATTAACTTACTCCTGGGTCTGAAAAAACATTACAACAGAATTCATAACGAATTTGTGCATATATAATGTCAGCCAGAGAACACATCCTTCTCTGCTGCTGAATTAATATAAGGTTAGAGACTGCAATGTAAGTGGATTTTAGTGGCTGTAAAATTAGATTCAAATCATCCTACAAAGGTAGAAAGTGTAAAGTATTTCTATAAAATCCAATCTGTCAGTCTCATGACAAAATTTTTTATACCATTTTCTTTTGATTTTTATATAAAACTCTGTCTGCTGGATATAAGTAATTGTCTGGTGTGTTGATGGTTGCTTCTAATGACACCTTTGATAGTAACTTTAGCTATAAAAGTGCCTAATTCTTTCAAGGCTTGGTTTTGCAGTAAAAATATAAAACTCTTAACTGTTTTTCTCAGTGCTGTTCAAAATAGATGTCATTAAAGTAAACTTTCTAGAGGAATCTCAAGGCTCAGTTAAATTACCTTTCAGGTATTAGGTTATACAAACTGTTAGTAATTTCCAAAAGTATTGTAGAATAAATACATAATCAAAACCTATGAAATCCTCTGTTCTTTGATGCATTTCTCTCTGTCCTCTATATATCCATTTTAGATCTTTACAATGTCAATGAAAGAATGACATGAAGGTTGGGTATTTGTAACAAATGTCTCAAAATGATAAAATTATATACTGTACACCTTTAATGAGGGGCTTTCCTGAATAGGCTAAGTCTTTTTTGGTAATTTATGTGACATTTCCTGAGAATAAACTCCATGCAACTCTAGCAACCTGATTGCTGAAGGTCCTATACCCTCATCAAGTTTGCATCCTTTAACCACAAGTAAATCTGTGTATTCCATAATCCCTCTAATTTTATCTGTCCTTCCAATTTCAGTCCTTTTGGCTTCCATGTTGCCTACCTGAACTTCTGTGACAGGCTTCACTACAGAAAAAGTATTCTTCATAGCAATAATGAATGCTACAAAGGCCTACAGAATGTAAGAATAACTGTGGTTGTTGGCAGGTTTTTTTTGTGATTACTAGTTGTG